CTCCACCGCTTTCCTACTAGCTCCCGCGGCCTCAAAAGCACGGCAGAGGAGGAAGGGGGAGGGATAACGCGGGGGCCAGCTCCACGTGGAGAGAGAGGCACCACTGCCACGGGCGGCTCATCAAAACAAGTCTGGGGAGGTCCTTTGCAGGCGGCCAGTTCTAGCTGCCTGCAAAGGACTTCCCCACGTTTGTTTTGGTAGAAAGCTCTGCGCGGCAGTTAGAAATCTCTGCGCGGAGGTTTCTAGCGACGTGCGCGGCCGCGCACGCGCGCACCTTAGAGGGAACAGTGATGGCAGTCCAGTCTCTTCTTGAAAGCCTCCAGTGATGAAGCTCCCACAACTTCCGAAGGCAACTTCTGTTCCATTGGTTGATTGTTTTCACGTCAGAAAAAATTTCCTTATTTCTAGGTTGAATCTCCTCTTGTTCAGTTTCCATCCATTATTCCTACTCCCTGTATTTCTTCTCTCGTCTTTCTCTTTGCTCTTTGGGGTTAATTGTTTTCTTTTTCCTTTGAAGGACCGAGTTGTGACAGAACCCACCAACTTTCCCAGGGTAGGGAAAAAACCACAAGGGTCTCATCCAAAGCCACCCATAAGGCGGATCAAGCAAGAAGTGGACAAAATTGCCATTCCATTAGGTAAGTGCTTGGAGGCTATTTTCTAGCTTTGCCTTTTGCTTGCAAGTGCAACTAAAATTATACTAACCGCTTTTCTTTTCTTTTTCACGTTTTATTTATGTAACATCCAATTTTAATCATACAGTGTGTTCTGGGTACAATTATGCTTAAATAATCATATTATACATCTTTGTTATAGTTCCTCTCCATATTAATAATATAATAACATTAATATTTAACATTTGAGATCATCTTCTTTAACAACTGTCCTCCAATTTCCTCCAATGGTATGTCCTCCTTTATAACTTCTGTTATTTAGCCATTGATAAAATATGTCCCATATCAAAAAGTATTCGGTTTCTTCTTTATCTTTAATAACAAGTGTTAATCTATCCATTTCTGTGCAGTCTAATATTTTCTTAATCACATTCCCCTCAGATGGGATCTCATCATCTTTCCATTGTTGTGCAAATACAATTCTAGTTGCAGTTAAGATATGCAGGATCAAGTATGTGTTCTTTTTATCATATATTTCAGGTAGAATGCTCAACCAAAATTTCTCTGGTTTCAAATCTATATGTTGTTTTATCATTTTTTTCCAGCCATGTATGTATTTCCATCCAATATTTTCTTGCCTCTGGGCGTGTCCACCATATATGATAGTATGAACCAGAAGCTTGCTTACACTTCCAACATTTTGCCGATCAACCGTATTTTTCGGAGTATAAGATGCACCTTTTTCCCTCAAAAAAAGAGGCTGAAAATCTGGGTGCATCTTATACACTGAATACAACATTTTTGGCCTCCCAAAATCCTGCCCCTTCAGCAAAATGGCCGTGCATAGCCTTTAAGAGGCTTTGGAGTGCTCCTGGAGTCTGGGGAGGGCAGAAATGAGGGGAAAATGGGCTGTTTTTTGCTCAATTTTTCCCCAGCCCCCAGAAACACTCTATAAGCCTTCTGAAGACTATGCATGCCCTTTTTTGACAAAAAAATGAGCCTTTTTTTGTGAAAAATGGGCCATTTTTTGCTCATGGGGGGGGGCACACACACACCCCGGAGCATTCTGCAAGCCTCCTAAAGGCTATTTGTGCCCTTTTTGGGTGGGGGGCATTTTCGGGAAAAACGGGACCATTTTTGGGAGATCTACAGAATGCATCTTATATTCCGGTGCATCTTATACTCCAAAAAAATACAGTATCTTTAAACATTTTTGCCAATCTTGCCGGTGCAAAGTGCCATCTATAAAACATTTTATACAGATTTTCCTTATATGTAAGGTATAGCAATCGCTTTTCGGTTCTGAACCAATGCAAACATAAATCTGGATTAGGCAGCTATTTGAAATTAGCAGCATATTCTTTCTCCTAAAAAGGCTGTCATGATAAAATAGTCAGAATTTTAAAAAGCTCTCAAGGCAAATGCAGAATGCCCCTCCAACCCCCAGAAGCACTCTACAAGCCTCCTAAAGGCTATGCATGCCCTTTTTGGGGGGCAAAAAATGGGCTGCTTTTTGCTCATTTTTGCCCATCCCCACCCCGCCATGAGCACTTTGCAGGCCTCTCAAACTCTCTGCATGCCCCGTTTTCCACAAAAAATGAGGTGTAGAGAGGATTTGGAAGGTGCAAAAACTTTTTTTAAAATTTACCTCTTCAAAATCTTGGTGCGTCTTATACTCCAAAAAATACGGTAATTATATTGACTTGCCTGGGAGTCAGCCAGAGCTGGTTTTGCTTTCATTCTGTGCCAAAATGCTGTACTCAAGTAAAGTTTTGCATTAAGAGATTGGATCGTCTCAACAGTGCTTGCTTGGTTGGGTTCATCAGTCAGAACTTTGACACTGAGTTTGCCTTCCAGATCCCAGAAATCAAATCATCTTTGCATTATTTTTTTCTGTCTCTCTCAGGGAACGAACCACAGCTGGCCACTGGATGTAGCCCACCTTCTGCACAGCTGGATCAGGTAAGGGAATAATCTCTCAGAGAGATAACTCGGGACTCACCTCCTTGGATTCGAAAAAAAATTTCTGCTGTCAGATACAGGTAGTCCTGTAGACTTACAATCATTCAAAATTACGACAGCCCTGAAAAAAAACACGACATAACTATTTTTCACCCTTAACAACCACCGCAGCATCTCTGTCAAAATTCAGACACTTAGCGACCGGTTCATATTTATGACGGGGTTGCAGTGTCTTGGGGTCATGGGATCCCCTTTTGCAACAAACGAAGTCCACGGGGAACCCAGGTTCACTTAACAACCGTGTTACCAACTTAACAACTGCAGTGATTCATTTATCAACTGTGGCAAGCAAGGTGGGACAAAATTCACTTAACCACTCTCTTACTTAGCCCCAGAGATTTTGGGTTCGATTATGGCCATAAGTCAAGGACTACCTGTATATCCCTAAAGAACCCTTTACAAGGACCTAGGGGCCTCCTGTTCAGTTCCATTGGATATTCAAGAAGGACCCCACTCCCCCCCCCTTGGACTTCGCTAAGAAATGTGCTGCTTTAATTGTGATAATATGACATTTGCTGCCTTTTAGGTGATGCTTGAGGAAGTCTCTGTGACTTTTAGCGAGGAAGAGTGGGCGCTGCTGGATCCCGACCAAAGAGCACTCCACAGGGATGTGATGGCAGAGAACAGTGGCATCACCTCCTCTTTGGGTAAGTTTCCTCTTAGAAAAAAAGAAAAAGGGCAGGGAACAACACAGTTTGAGAAGGAAAAATATGAATATTGAATGGTACCCATGAAAGGAAGATTAGAAATCCTTTTGGATTATATACAAAAGTCAATAAAGAAGAATTAAGTTAGATACAGTTATAAGTTTTGATTATTAGGGGTAAAATACTATGATACAGGACATAGTGAAATAAATGAGGGATAATGATGACTATATATATATATATATATATATA